AAAAAAAAAATCAATTCAATTTAATTTTGTAGTTTGTTTCGTACTTCATATTCCATCTACTGCCTCAAGTGATATTCAATCATGCCAGTCTTAAACTCATACAATTAGAGCTGACTTATAATGATGGCATAGATAAATCTTATGCAAATTGCTGTTAACTTAAGCAGAACATTTGCAAACGATTCACAGCCAGATTAATGATCCGCCAGCAGCTGATGCCCAGTTGCAAATGTGACCCAACTCTAGAAGCGGAACGAATAAGGAGAAGATGTACACAGATAAAGCTGATGAAATCAACAAACGAAGTGCTGCAAATTGATGGAAATGCTAAAGAAATTTATGAAATTCCAATGGAGCTGGGCAAAGTCTGACTGACTGCCAATTAGACTTAATCGAAAATCGATGAACATTCCAAGTGGACAGCGAAAAGTTCAAATTGGAATAGACGCAAAAGAGTTGATCAAATATGCAAATGGTGTTTCGGGTCAAATTTGATTCGAGGTGTGGCTCAGGTGCTTAGCTTTGCGTGTGGTCTCTATTGAACCAAAAAAACTAAAAGTCATCTCTGTTTACACTCTGCCTCTTTCTCTGTATCTGTTTCTCTTCCTCGCTCTCATTCTCTGGTAGACCAAAGAAAAACACTTGAAAACTGGAAAATTTCAGTTGGTAGTTGAATAAATTGTATTTATTTGATTTTTATTTTCTTTTCGTTATTTTCTTTTTTTTCTATTTAGTAAATTAATTTGAAACACGTTTGTTTTCGTCGCCGTTTAACGAGCTATAAAAACCGATGCTGAACATTTTTGTTGTTGTTTACCGAAATAATTTCGTTTCGCTTGAAGGCCATTAGTTGCGCTTCCTCTTCGACGTCTTCTTATCAAGCGCCTTCAAACAAAACATTTTCCCATCATTATCTGAGCCTCGGTGCCGCCTCTTAACGACTGGCCACGATCCACGAGTACTTTGGAGTGGACGCTTCCCCCTTCTCTCCCGTCTCTCTCTTTAGTCATCCTTCTCGCAGCTAATGAGCAGCATTTGCGACAGCATCGCAATTACTTGTGGCCAACTTGGAGCTTCAGTTGGTGTTTCTTCTCTTCCTTTGCTCATTTGTTTATTGATTTCCCATTTGTTTATTGCCCTAACTGTTTCGCATTTTAAATATTTGCATCTGTAGTATTACACGGCGTATGCGCAATAATTAGCCAAACAGGAAATTAAGAATGCCGCAATGTGCTGGGCATTCGGGCATTCGGTGTCTATAATTGTGACCGTTGCTGTATCTGGATTATTTTATTGTTTCACATAAATATACAATCGATGTGCGCCGATTGATATACTCATTCGCCGTAGTTGGCTTTTTCTTTACGGCCCAAACAAATCATTAAAAATGTTTATAAAGCACGAGCTCTGCCCTATGAGCTGGATCTCCGTATCTTAATTTAAATAAATTTTTCAATATTGTATTCGCTGATTTTTATTGCAGTTGAGATGAGATTTATAAATTGAAAATGGGATATTGGTTTAGCATATTGTAATTTTCACAGTCTCTGTGCCTATTCTAAAAAGAGAATGCGAGAGCGAGAACGAGATAGTGACATAGAGAGGAAGAGGGAGAGAGAGGTACAGAGTAGACAATGAAAGAGAGAGAGAGAGAGATAGAGATAGATAGTGAGGCGGAGGGAGACAGACATTGAGGAAGATAGATAGATAGAGATAGAGATAGATAGATAGATAGATAGATAGATAGATAGATAGATAGATAGAGATAGATAGATAGGAGATAGATAGTTAGGCAGATAGACATAAAAGGAGATAGAGAGAGATGGTGAGAGATATATAGATATATCTTATAAACTCTTGCTCATCATTATAAGATAATCTATTGTGGCTCTTCGAATTTGAGCAGTAGGTGTAAACAAATTTTCTTATTATTTATATAACATTTTCTCCAATATGGTACTGAAAGTCCATCGCTTTCTAAAACTTAACAGAAAAAAAAATTGTAATAAGCATTATTTAAGTAATATTGATTGTATACATTATATACGTCACTGCTTGAATTTATCATAATAGTTTGAAAGTCACTAAGCCCATAACAAAGATAACAAAATAGTTTGGCTTTTCCAATAAAGGGCTTTTGCCTGACAGTTTGATTCAGCTCTTTAAAACTCTTTAAGTCTCTTCTCTTGCATATCTTTAGGTTTCTTTATCTCTAGCATTTACTGTACAGTAACTGTTTTGCTTATCAGCTGAAAGTGCCCAAACTGAAGTTGGACTAAGCTCGAAATCTCTTCAGCCTTAGAGTCAATTAAAGTTCCGCAGAGCTGCCAGCGATTTTCCGCTGAGTAGTTACTCATACTAGGCACTAGTCCGGGCAAGTAGTTAGTTAGTAGATTGTTTCCGTGATCAGCAGACGACTGTGTTAGTGTGTGTGTGTGTATGTAGAGCAACGCAAATGGTATCTATCCACTTTGAGGGGGGGGGGGCTCTGTGGACATCTCATCACAGTGTTTGCATTTCTCAGACTCTGGCGGCGTTCGCTGTTTGTTCTAGCTATGAAAGATGGAGATGGGGGCATGTAGCGAATGCGACGGCTACGTAAAGTACATGGCTTCGTTTTTCTCTCTATTGCTGTTGTTGTTTTTTTGGTTAATTTACATGACAACACGTTTCGAAAGTCAGTCAGTCAACAGCAGCAGCAGCAGCAGCAGCAGCAGCAAGAGCAACAATGAAATACGACAACAAGATACAGCTACATGGGGGCATTGTAAGTACCTTGCAGATACATTCGTTCATTTGTAGCTGCAAGTTAACTAGACTGTTACAACTGTAGTTGAGGTGGGGTGGGAGTTGGGGCCTAAGGTAAGGACAGGTTGTTACACATAGGGCCACTTTGGGCCACTTGGCTGCCTAGCGGTCTGAAGCCCTCAACTGTGATGCGCTGCTTCGATGCGGTTCTGGGCCAAAAACAATGCGGCGAATCTGTTGGATACTTTTTTCCCTCTCTCTCTCTCTCTCTCTGCCGTTTTGCAGCTGTTGCGACTGTGTGCGACTTTTCGCAGACGCGTCGCCTAGGTTTACAGTTACAGCATACAACAAGGTGTGTGTGTGCGTGTATTTACATCAAAATTAGCATTTTCTTTGTACTTAAATGCGGTTTTTCCCCTGCACTTAGCGATTGTTTGTCGCTGGCTGGCGCATCTTGCAATTGCCTCAAAAGCATCTTGGAGCTTGTGTGCGCCGTGATTAGCGCCGTAAATATTTATGAGCTGCCAATTCAAGTTGAACTGGTAACAGCTGATGTCATTTTCTATGAATTTTCTGAGCTCATATCGTGCCCAAAAAGCAACAGCAGTCGCCACAGTTGTAGAGATCGCCCATGTAACTGCGAGTGAACGGGTTAGAAAAAATCATACAAATACATATATAGCTTTTGTCAAGGCATTCAAGTTCGATATGTTTTGGTGTCTTGCGAGAACGACCCAATTAAAGGTGTAGAAAAAAGTTGCGTAGCTTATGTCAGACAATTGTTGTTCATTTTCGATTCAAGCAATGATATTGAAGTCGCCCCCTTTGGATGGATGTCAAGCAAAAGAAGAAGAAAACCCCAGTTAGATAGTGCGTATGTCAGTCAGTCTGTCAGTCAGTGAGGCGTACAATTGGCACGCTTCTGATAAGAGCAATGAGAGCGCATTTCAAATGCAATTGGAAATATAGAAGCGCTGACAGCAAGCATATGTATGTATTTATGTCTGTGCACCCAGTAGGAAATTTATGGCATATAGTATATCAGCGACGTAGATGACGACCTCAGCCGCATGTCAAGTCATTGCTGGTGTTGACATGCGTCTTGTTTTCGTATCAATAGCAAACGTACATAAAACAAACGAAAGAAACAATAAAAAATTGATGACGAAGTTAGTTTTAAGTACGCATTATATGAAATATATACACATATTTTTATTTAACAAATGAAATATCATCCTACTTAAAGGAAGAGGCAGTTAGCTGTTTATTGCGTTGTCAACAAGCTGCCAACGTAGTGAAGGCCACGTCTATCCATCGTTAAGTTTCCAACTGGGACTATGCAACTAATTCACACACACGCATACGCACACATGCTTACATATGTATATATGCTAAGATATAAACCCGTTACGTCTCTCACTGTACTCTCTTCGCACGCTCTCTTCCTCTCCGTCTCCCTCTCACACCATAGTTCGTCAACGGCTGCTGCTGTCAATTGAACGAATGCATCGCACGTCAACTCTGGCAATTGCAACTGAACGAAATAGAGAAGCGAAATAAAAAGCGCAAATTGATAATTGAGTTTGGCACAGGCTCAAACTGCAGTTAGCATTTGCAGCGTTGCCAGACAGCCAGCCAAGTGGGTCACTCAATGCGACCATGTGACAGCACACACGAGCCAATTAGACAGAAGCACCGATAGACGGAGCCACAGAGCAAGGGAAAGAGTGAAAGAGAGAAAGGGAGAGAGATAGTGGCCTCGACAGAGGCTGCCAGGCTTGCATGCATTTATTTATAGTAGGTAACACACAAATTAGTGTTGCGCTCATGCCTAATCATCGCTTCTTATTGGAATTTGACATGAGGGCGCTCATAAATTGGAATCGCTGGCGCCGCGCACAAGTTATGCGGCCAAGTGTGAACTTCTTGGTCCCAGCATCGATTGATTGGTGTCGTTGTTGGTTGGTTGGTTAAACTCCGTTTCCATTTGTTCATGTCTGGCACGCCTCGTCTTTTTAATTTAACGGTAATAAAAACATCACGTATACGCCCCGCTGCCACTGGCAATGCAATAAAACAAATGTGCGTCCCCACCTAGCCACGGCGAAAGCCTCATCATTTGTTTGCCCCACAGTCAACAACATGAAAATACAACAACAACAACAACAACAGCAACAGCAGCAGCTAATATAAATGGCAGCAGCCACAAAGTGTCAACTAATGGCGGAGGGTTGGAGGTGTGCGTGGGCAGCAACTGAGCAGCAACTAAAGGCAACAGCGGCAGCTGCTGCATAACTCGCAACGTAAGATTAAAGCGCAACACGAAACCAAAAATTCCCATTCCAATTCCCATTGCCATGCTCAGTTTCCCTGCCCCCTACACCATTCCCAAATGCCTATGTCAAACCCAAATGGAATGGATACCGTTGCAGCTAAGAAATTTTTCTAGCGAATTCGCATAAGAAAAAAAAAAAAGAATACATGATATGAGAATTTACTGCACTCTTAAGGGAGATCCAAGCAAATTCTTGAATATCTTTTTTAATGACCTACGCTGTCTATCTCTATCTCTA